CACGAAACCAAAGACACACACACACACACACACACACACAACATCACACACAACATCAGACACACACACACACACGAAATCAGAGACACACACGACATCAGATACACACAACACACAACATCACACACAACATCAGACACACACACACACACACACACACACACACACACACACACACAGGGTTATTTTAAGATACAGTTTGCAGACAGCTGCGATCACGCTGCTAATTCCCTGTAACACACATCAGCTCATGCTCATGTGAGTGGGAGCAGACTGGCCATCAGTGTGTGTGCTGTGATCTTCTATCCCTGCCTAGAGTAGGGGACATAAGGAAGTACAAGGGGCTCTGTTTTCATGATCTCGGTGCAAAGTCTAAAGCGCACAGCCCAAAAGCAATAAGGACATGTCTGAACCCACCACTGCTATTTTAGGGACAGATAAATCCGCTCTGCACCCTTAATGAGCTCTGGCTGTGTGTTGAGCAGAACCTGCATTAAACCAATCAGAATCTCGTCTCTCATTGCCTTTAAGAGTCAGTTGCGTCTCTCCATGGTGCATTTGCAATCTACATGGCGACTCTGTAAGAGTAAAAACTGAACGCTTCACTGAGAAAACAGGTAAACAGAGCATCTGCAGCACGAGGATAAAGAACGAGCCTCCTTCATTCAGCCTCTTTACTTTCTCTTTACTCCTTTACTTGGTGGAGTGGGGAAACGGTGGACACTCACTCCACTGAACACATCCATCAGCCCACATATTTAATCTCCTTTGTTAAACACAAAGATTTGCTTCAAATCTATTTCTAAATTCAGTCATAATCTCCAGCAAAAGAATAAATGAGCAATAATAATGAAGTGTGCTCAGGAAACTGAGTAATATGGTTGAATCTTACGGTTGAGCGATCGCTGGCGTGTCTGACTGCCGCTGCTCCCCCGGACTGTTTTTTTTATTACCTTGCTTTACTTTCAAAGTTTTTTATTTTTTGTTTTTATTTTTGCTTTGTTTTATTACCTTTTAACACAACAACTTTCCGACAAACTGACCAGAAAATTCCTGTCAGACAAGCTGTCTCACCTGCCAAACGCGAGCTCTCGCCACCACAAAGCGGGCTGCTTCCTCCGTCTTCCATAAGCAAATAAACACTTTCATTTGTAGGGTCGGTCACTGCTGTGTCGGTTGTATGCTAGTTTTGGTGTAAGTGGTCTTAGTAAGGGCTGCTTTCCATTTACTTGCGCCGTCATTGCTTGGTATGCTGGCTAACGCAGTTTTTAAACCTGGCTGTGTATACGCAACTGTAGGACGTCTGTGTTGATGCTTCTCCTGGGCTCATTGCTTGCTTTTATAAGTGTTTAGGCGGTGCTCCAGGACTCATTGTCGCCCTCCGGCTTGTGGATGATTAATATGCTCTTTTACTCATCTCTGGATCTGCATTGTCTTAATCCTGAAACTCAGTCAAACCTGCCTGTCAGTCTCTATAATCGCTGTGCTGTTCTTGGCATGGCGCGCCGCCCTCGCTACATACATCAGGGTTCTCGTCACAAAAGATGTTCTGGATCAAAGTGTTCAACTTCACCTGATGGGTTGTCAGATATACCTGTTGTCTGGTCTCCCTTTTGCCGGTCACGTCCTCAAGCACGTCATGATGATGGACATAAACAGTTCAGAAATCTTCGTCATTTAAAATTTGTCTCTTTAAGACATTTTTCAGACACCAAAACAACGCTTCAACGTCCTGTGAAAATGGCTGTAGTAAACGCCCGCTCATCGTCAAATAAACCTTTTATCCTACATGACTTTTTTACTTCACATGCGCTGGACTTCCTATTTTTGACAGAGACTTGGTTGAAACCCGGGGAAATGTCATCTGCGGGAGAGTTTTCTGCTGCGGACTGTTCTTTTTTAGATTGGGGGGGGGTTTAGGTTGGGTTAGCTGTCCACCCTTTCAAAGAAAGTTTAAAACGATCTAAAATATGCGAGTCACCGAAACACCTCTGCCTCAGTCTGTGCCTTATTTAGATGTCTAACGGCTGCTGGCATGAAACTGTTTGTGTATTGTTTCGTTCCACAGCTTTATACTAGAGACCTGCGACCAGAAGGAAGGACCACTACAGGCCCATATCTAAACTCTCATTCATCTCAAAGCTTTTAGAGAAAATTGTGCTTTCACAGTTGACCTCATATCTGGACATTTTTAATATTCTAGACCCCTTCCAATCTGGCTCTAGAGCAAAACACAGCACTGAGTCTGCACGACTGAAAGTCCAAATGACATTTGATCTCCATGGATGCTGGCTCATCTGCGGCTTTAATACTGTTAGACCTGAGTGCTGCTTTTGATACCGTAGATCACAACATTTTAATAAAAAGACGTGAGTGTGTTGTTGGGGTTCAGGGCCTTGCCTTACCACTGTAAGGTTGGATTTTAGTAAGCTCCTTTGTAAGCTCCTCTTATCTTAAGGGCAGATCTTTTTCTGTAAATATTGGATCCTTTACTTCACCACCTAAACCTATTCATTGTGCTGTTCTACAAGGATCTATTCTTGTCCCTCTTTTATTGTCTCTTTATATGTTTCCTTTAAGCTCAATACTCTGCAAACATAACATAAGCTGTCACTGCCATGCTGATGATCTCCAACTATATTTTCCAATCAAACTAGGACAAGACTTATCATTAGAAAATCTTTTCCTATGCATAAGCGACATTAAGACCTGGATGACCAATAAATAATGCAACTAAATGAAAATAAAACAGACGTGTTATTAGGTCCTGCTGCTACCAACAGTTCAATTAAAACTCAGCTAACGTTAGGAGTCCTAAATGACAATCTGCACAATCACACCAACAATCTCGGAGTTATCTTTGATCCACTCTTGCAGTTTGACAAGCCTGTAAATGCAGCTGTGAGGAGCAGCTCTTCCAGCTTAGACTGGTGGCAAAAGTTAAACCGAGATCTAGAAATCATAACCCATGCTTTAATCTCCTCTTGGTTAACTCTCTGTACATTGCTCTACCTCAGTCAACACTCTCTCGGCTACAGTTGGTCCAGAATGCAGCCACCAGATTGATAAAAGGAACTAAGAAAAGAGTTCACATCTCCCCTGTCCTCGCCTCATTGCACTGGCGTTCTCTTCACTTATAAAGCAGTGCACAGTTCTGCCCCGGTCTATGTCAGTGAGCTTATTAGGCCTTATTCTGTAAAGCTTGTAGACGGTTAAGATCCCATGACCAGTTTCTCATGTCTGTCCCTCGGTCTCGCTGCTAATCGAAAGGTGATGGAGCTTTCTGTGTTGCGGCCCCACGGCTCTAGAGCAGTCTCCCTCTGAACAGCAGGGTTTCTCCATCATTGGATGCTATTAAATCTACTTAACGTCTTGTTTGACTCTCTTGCCTTTGAGTGCTTCACACCTGTTATTCCTTATCTGTGTTTTAGTGTTACACATATACAGATATATTTCCTCTTCTTACATTTTTAATTCAGGTTTTATTTTATTTTCCTAAATATTTGATGTCATTGTAAATCACTCTGGATCAACTACGGCTGTGTGAAACTGTGCTCCATAAATAAAGTTAGCCTATCCAAACACACGTCCTGTTCTTATACCCATATCCTGATGCAGACGTCTGTAAAACCCCACAGCTGGACACATCTACACTTCTGTTTATTATAAATCTGCAGATGATCAATAATACTGATCTAATAATCACATTATCCAGATGCAGACGGTCATCAATAACCTGAAGAAGCCCCCCGAGGTGAAGAAGGCCTGTGCTGTTTATATTGATGGAGAAAATCATCATCTCTGGATCATTATGATCTTTAATTGTTCATCTGTAGAGATGTGTGTGTGTGTGTGTGTGTGTGTGTGTGTTGCTGATCATCCTGTGTGTGTTCAGCAGTGTGTGAGTGTTCAGACCTGCATAGGTGGATAATTAACCTGCTCTGCTGGACTTTAGAGCTTTAGAGTCCACAGAGTAGCACAGACGGATTTGTGTTTTAAACATTGAGATAGTTAGAGTTGCGCTGGTCTGAAGACAGCAACACATCTCGCCAAACATGTCTAGCGCCTCACTGCGGCGGCTGTATGACAGAGCCCTCAGTGCGTCAGTAAACTGTGTGTGATGTTCCCTGATTCTCTGCTGTCGCTGCAGTCACCTGACACTACACCAGCACAAAACAGCAGACTCCCCAGCATGACTGTACTGTTACTACAGCCACGAGTCTACTGTAACCATGAGATCCTGCAGTGTGTGTGTGTGTGTGTGTGTGTGTGTGTGTGTGTGTGTGTTTCCTCTCTTACAGGGTATTTCTCCAGTGGGTCTATCAGCAGTGCGTCTCCAAATATTTTCCGGCAGTACTCCGCCATCTTCGCCTGCTGTTTGGGCCTGAGAAGAAGAGAAACAATAAGACACAGCAGCGTCTGAACACACACACACACACACACACATGCGCGCGCACACATGCACGCACACACATGCACGCACACACACACACGCACGCACACACACACATGCACACACACACACACACATATACACACACACGCACATGCACACACGCACACACACATATACACACACACACATGAACACACACATGCACATACACACACACACACACACACA